TCTGCCTCGTCTTCCCTCACCCCAACCTCTTCTGTGCAGGCAGCGATATCGTGGAGTGGCTGATCCACAACTACTCCGTCTCCGAGGAGGGTGAGGGCTCAGCCCTGCCCATCCCCACACTCTCCCCTCAGGCTCTAGGGGAGCCACTGTGTTGATGGCCTAGGGCTGGGGGCTCACAGATGTCAGGGCTCGGCCACATGTGCTGTGGTGGTGGGGCACTTGTGCAAGGTACCCCTCTCCTGCACTAACACCCCCCCAAGTCTGCACCCACAGATGTCAGGGCTTGGCCACGTGTGCTGGGGTGAGGGGCACTTAGGCGAGGTACCCCTCTGTACTGACACCCCCCAGAGTCTCTGCACCTGGGCACCCTCCTGGTACGGCATGGCTACATATACCCTCTGCGGGACCCCTGCTGCCTGGTGCTCCTGCCCGACGAGACCCCCTACAGGTTCCAGGTCAGGCTTGGCCTGGGGAAGGTGGGACTCCGACAAGTGGAGACCCCAGGGAGGGTAGAGCTTGCTGGAAGTGGGGTGATATCGTCACGGGCCTGGCAGTCCATGGCCCCCTCCCCTAAAGCCCTGGACTAGAGGGAGTCCGTGTGCCGAAATCTTCAGGCTTCCTGGGGCCACAGCACAGTGACCCCCATAAAGGATAATTTCTGGTGAAGATTTGTCCGATTCTGAGGTCTTTGGGCCCCAATCCTGAAGAAAAGGGTGGGGCTTGAGCACCAAGGGACATATACTTCAACAGGATCCACCAACATGATGGACGCCCCACCCCTCCCTCAGTGCCTCCCCAGGCCTCCCACCTGGGGTAGGGGCTCAGAGTGCTGGAGTCAGGGAGGCCCCCCAGGGTCCCAGGAGCCCCCCGAGTCCCCAGGGAGCCGTTAGCTCAGCTAGGGGGGACAGAATATCTAGTGTTTAGCTGTGCCTGCATGCTGTGTGGACACAGAGATCCTCAGACACCCCCTTCCCACTCAGAGCCTGTGAGTGGGGCTGTGACCCCAGGGTGGCCAAGGCCCAGGGGGCCCCGGCTACCCTTGTCCCTGCCCACCGCAGACGCCGTATTTCTGGGCAAGCACTCTGTGGCCAGCAGCTGAGCTGGACTATGGTGAGTGAGGGGGGTGGGGTTCCCAGACTGGCAGCCTCAGGGCCATGCTGTGGGTAGCGAGGTCTGTCCCCTATGGCCTGGCCGTCTTCCTTCCAGCCATTTATCTGGCCAAGAAGAACATCCGAAAGCAGGGAGCTTTGGTCGACCACGAGAAGGTGAGACCCTCCCTCCTAGGCTGAGTCCAGCCAAAGACACCCACAACCCCACTCGCGGCCCCCAGTGCTCAGAGTTTGCAAAACTGGGTCCACTTGAGCCCCACCCAAGGCTCCAGGACCCCAGGATAATCCAGCACTTGGGAGGGGGTTACCCACTGGAGCTTCATTACCCCTCAGGACCACTACAACCAGCTGCACGAGAAGATCAACCACACGTGGGACCTGGTAGTGATGCAGGCTAGGGAGCAACTGCGGTGAGACTCCCCTGCGAACCCTCCACCACACCCAGCCCTCACATCACTGCCTGACCAAGCTCTCTTCCTACCTACGCTCTGCCCAAGTCCCTGGCCCAGACCACGGCTCCTCCAACCAGACTCACGCCACTGGCCACACCCACAGTTTACTCACTGCCTAGGCCCAACCATGCCCCCACCTACCTCCAGCCTGCACTAGCAGCCAGAAGCCAACAGCTGGTCCAAGCTTGGCCCCCGGCCAGACCCTGCCTGGGGTGGGGAGGCACTGTGATCAGCCCGGTTTCCCCCTAACTCTGCTTTGCCCTGCCAGGGCGGCCAAGAGGCGCAGGAAGGGGGACCGGCTGGTCCTTGCCTGCCAGGAGCAGATGTACTGGCTGGTGAACAGGCCTCCGGTGAGTCCCTCTGTGCCTGCAGAGGTGTGGGGGTCCTGTTGTTGGCCTCTGTTCTCTGGCCCTTAGGGCCTCAGTTGAAGCCTCTGGGGGTGCCAGCTACAGAAGTTCCTGCTTCTCTGACTCTCCAGAGTTTCTGCCCCTCAGAGCCCCTAGTTCCAGAGCTGGTGAGGAAGAGGCAGGCCCCCACACCTCAGAAACAGGCTTCTCTCCAGGGTCTGAGGCAGGGCACAGGAAACCAAGGGGAGAGGCCACTCTCCAGGAGGTTGGTCCTGGTGGGTTACCTAAGGTCCACTGCCATGAGGGCTCGTGATGGTGACGTGAGGGGCCACCCCAGGCCTGCTGGGCAGCCACAGAGCCATCCTGAAGTGGCTGCTGGGAAATGGGAAGAAAGGGGACCAGAAGGGCCTGTCACCTCATCAAGTGGGAGTGGGGCTTCCAGCCGAGCACGGGCCAGGTTGGACAGGCAGTGGTGGACAGAACACTGGGAACCCTAGGTGGAAGGACCTTGGCCAGGGGCTGGCAGGTCTGTGGCTTGGGAGGTGGCTCCGGAGGTGGCGGCGGGAGACCCATAGAGGGGTCAGGGGTTAGGGTCAGCTAGTGTGTTGAGGATGGATTGGCAGGACATGTGGGTAGATGGACAGACACACGGGTGAGGGTTAAGGGTCACAAGAAAGAGGTTGAGGATTTAAGGTTTCAGCCTGGGGCCTGGGAGCATGGTGAGCGGGATGGAGGAGGGGACATGTCACCAAGGGGATGTGTAGGACGCCCCAGCTCTGGGGTGAGGCGGGGCGGTGTCCCAAGCTATCCGAGCATGTTTTGCAACAAAGGGCGACCCCTGTGTGCAGAGCTTCGGAGGTAAGGCTCGGTGCTCCCCCCCCCCCCCCCACAGCCCGGAGTCCCCAGTGTGCTGGAACAGGGTCCAGAGCGGGACGCAGGCACCGCCAGCCGAGTGCAGGTGGGAGTGTCCTGAATACCCCGCCCCCCACCAGTGCTGCCCTTCTGGCTGAAGGGCTGCCGCTGAAAGGTTTTGGGCGGGGTTGGGGGCTGTCCATCCTTCCTTCTGTTCACCCACCCATCCGTCCACCCCAATGGCATGTGACCTGGCCACCCCTGTCCTGGGGTGGGCTCCTGTCTTACTCCCCTGGCCTCCCCAGCTACCTCCCCTTCCACCTAATACTCCTGGGGGTTATTATTGTTGCTCCTCCTGCTGCCTGTGGTGCAAGTGCGTGCAGTGGACACAGGAGGGAGGGGCACCTCCCTGGGACGGGCAGTGTCAGGGTTGGGCCGCTCCTGGAACCAGAGGGCACTGGCCACGTCAGATAGCAGAGACCCGTGTTCAAGCCCACCCACCACAGTCACAGCAGACCCTGGGTCTGCAGATTCCGAAAAGGGAGAGAGCAGGGGATCTGGCCAAGACAAGGGCCAACTCAGACTGTCTTAGGGTTGTGGGGCTACAGCCACGGCTCCCCCAGCCAAGAGTTCTGGGTCTGAACATGGTAAGTTAAACCTGGGATCACAAGTTATCAAGATGGGGTTCTCTGTGTGACCCCATTAGTAATGTGTTCCGCATAGTATGTTGAGTTTTATAGACTCTTTAAAATGTATCTATAAACACTAAACGCTAATCACATTTGGGGTAATTTAGGCAGCTCTGAGAACCTAGGGCTCCATGGAACAGTCTGGAATCTAGACTAGAGAACCTCAGAGGCCCCCTGGAAAATCAGAATGCCCATTAGCGAGGGGCTTTCCTGAGCAGGGCCTGGGGCCTCAGACACAGGGGCCGTGGGCTGAGATGCTCTTGTGAGGGTTGTTCCTCAGGGGGCCATTCTCCTGGTCACCTGCTAACTTAGCCCACTGGCCTCTTGCAGACCAAGAATACGGATTTCTACAAGCAGGAGGTAGGTCCTGGGGGCCTGGGTGGGATCAGGGTCCCAGCCCAGGGCTGCCTCACCGGGCTCCCGTCCTCCAGGTCGAACGCTGCAGAAAGGCCCTGGGCAGGACTCGGGTGAAGTCCTCCATCTGCCTAGAGGCGTGAGTGGGGTACAGGTACTGAGGGAGACCCCTGGCTGGAGCCCAGACCCTTCCTTGAGCCCCCACAACCCTTTCTTGCTCAGGCCCCTGGGAACTGCATCCTTGGCGTCTCCCCAGGTACCTGAAGTTCAGTAGCCAGTACAGGCCACATGACCCCATCATGTCAGGATGCCTGCCCAGCAACCCCTGGATCACGGATGACACTACCTACTGGGCCATGAACGCACCCATGTGAGCCAGGGACCGGTGGGTGGTGGGGACTGAGGTGTGTGTGGCCCGGCGGGCGAGCAATGACCCCTAACACCCCCAGGGTGGCTGTGCCCATGAAGCTGCGCGTGGAGCGATGGGCCTTTGGCTTCCTGGAGCTCTTGGAGGACCCTGTGGGGCGGGCCCAGTTCATGGACTTCCTTAAGAAGGAGTTCAGTGGTGAGATGTGCCCTAGCTCATGGTCCCACCTTCCCTGCCTTGCCAGCGTGATGCCCCCAACCTACCCTGACGCCTGTAATTCCCCTGGCCCACCTTGAACCCCCTGACATCCCCGAGCCACTCTGCACCTCCAGCCGAGAATCTCAGCTTCTGGGAGGCATGCGAGGAGCTGCGTTATGGCAGCCAGGCCGGCATCCCCGCCCTGGTGGACGATGTGTACCAGTGAGTGTGATGGGGGCACGGTGGAGTGGGCTTAGCTGCCGGGTGGTGGGGCCTGGCCAGAACCTACTGGGAATGTCCCTTCCCAGGCAGTTCCTGGCACCCGGGGCAGCCCGCTGGGTCAACATAGACAGCCGGACAATGGAGCGGACTCTAGAGGGGCTGGGCCAGCCGCACCGTTACGTGCTGGACGACGCCCAGATGCACATCTACATGCTCATGAAGAAGGTGGGCCGGGGAGGGGCTCCGGCCCGGGGATGGGCCGTCCACATATGTATACACACATGGCCCGGGGCGGGGCTGTCCACACACGCACGCACACACGGGCTGGTCCTGTCCTTGAGTGGGCCGGGGAGGGGCTTGGGGCTGCCCACGCACACCCGCACACCCGCACCGGTCCTGCCCTTGGCTGGGCTGGGGAGGCATGTCTGGCCTGGCTCGGTGTCCCCCGTGCATGCACTGTTCTTGCCCACAAGCTTCCTCTGGGCTGGCCACACTGGTGGCCTGGTTTGTTTCACCTTCAGTGTTTAAGGGCTGTTTAGTTGCCTGTTTTATGATCACGTCAACTATTCTCCCAGTTTTAAATCTGAAAGTAAGGTTATACCTACCTTGTCAGTCAGTCTGGCACCATCTTGTTTCCTTCCTCCCACTGAAGGACTGAAAATGGACATTTTCCCTGTTTTAATGTAAGCCATGATGTACAGACTTGATCCTGTATTTGCTTCCTCTGCCTCGTAACTTCCCCGAGTGCTGCACCCCCTTGTTCCATTACATTTCCTGCCCCTGGTTGCTCTCCATTCATGGACGCTTTGGGGAGCCAGCCCCCAGCTCTGGGCTGAGGGCCCCGTCTCTTGTAGGACTCTTACCCACGGTTCCTGAAGTCTGACATGTACAGGGACCTGCTGGAGGGGGCTGTCCTCCCTCCAGAGACCAAGAGACGGTGAGTGCCAGCAGGGCCTGCGTCCACCTGCCCGACCCCCCACCTTCAGACACTCATACCCTCTTTGCCCCCAGGGTGTTCCCGTTCATGCGGAGGCCACGACACTCCAGTCCCAGTCCTGCTCTCCTTGCCTCCGGAGAGCCCGGGGCGGCTGCCCCTAGTGATGGGGACAAGGCGGCCTAGGTGGGGGCAGCCCTTTTCGGGCCTCGCCCTCCCACCCCTCCTGCTGTGGACCGTGGCGGCGTTCACCGTCCATCCTCCCAGCCCCAGTCCCCCAGCCCCAGCCCCCTCTCCTCTCCCTTGGGCCGAACCCTGCTTCTTAGAGGAACTTGTCCAGGCTCCAGTTTCCCAAAGAACTTCAGTGGTCCGGTGGGCTGTGCTCTGGGAAGAAATGTGGGCCAAGACAGGCAAAGCCCCCAGCACCTTGTGCCTTTGGGCACAGGGGCTGAGAGGTGTGACCTCAGTGCTGGGTGTCCACAACTTCAGAATCACTGAACCAGAGAATTCTGGGCAGGAGCCTATCACTGCTCACAGGAATGCCGACCTCCAGTGGGAAGTGCAGTGTTCCACCTGCACCGTGTCCCTAACCTTCCAGTGACACACTTGACAATTTCTGCAGGCGCCACACTCACTGTGGCAGTCACTGTCCACACTCCAGGCTTTATCCCAGCAAGTGCCCACATCTGGACCTCAGGAGGCCGTGGCTTCCCCACCATGCACAGGCGATTCTGCCATCACTGCCCCCGGTGATGGGTCACCAGGTCATGGGTGTCTGCTAGACCTTACACACGCACACACGTGCACGCGCACACACGCGCACACACACGGTCCAGAGGTGAAGATCTGAGCTGGTCCTTGTGTGTGCAGCTCTCACTAGCTCAGCTGGGGGCCTCTGAAATGGCCCGCACCTCCCCCTCCCCAGAAATAAATGACCTCACCCGGGGCCTGCCTGCTGTGGGTCGTGGTGTGTGTGTACGTGTGTCAGTGTGATGCAGGCACATGCACATGTGTGATGAAGGAGGGGTGAAGATCTTCTAGGGCATCCCACTGACATACACCAGGCTGTGTGGAACTGAGGAGGGGCCCAGGCTGTGGACTTTGAAGAGTCACCTGTCTGGGGTGTCAGCGTTAGAGGGGTCTGTGCTCTGGTGGCTGTGGGTGCAGGGCAGTGTGGGCCATGTGAGGGTGCAGGTGCATGCTGGGCCAGTGGAGAATGGAAAGGGCAGATGGAGCCTGGGGGTCACCACATGACAGGAGCCGCCCTCTCTCTCCTGCAATTTCTGGGGGCAGTGCTATTGGGTACAGGCGTTTACAGGTAGGAGTGAACAGCAGGGGTGCCCTTAGGCCCAAACTCCAGAGCTGGCCCCGACCCAGTGCTCCACCCAGGGATGATTCCCACCCTCCCAGAGGCGACCTGACCAGTTCTGGCCATCTGGCACTGGCTGGCTCACAGTGGCCCATGGACATGCCCCTGGTGGACCTCAAGAATGTCACAAACACCGAGTGCTGGCCTCAAAGCTGGTCACCATAGCCTGGCACTGGGCATGGCCTCTGCCATGTTCACGTCAGCCCAGGACAGCCTCAGGGTCCACCCCGGCACCAGGTCCTGCCTGTCCAGCACCACGGTCCCTGGGGACAGCAGGTGACCTAACCCTGTGGTTCCCCCTGGATACGTGACACTGTAGCCCTTGCCCGTGGAGCTGTCTAGTCTGGGCTTTCCTGGGGACGTGGACCTGCCTCCTGTGACAAAGCCTGTCCCCAGACCCTGGGACACAGAAGGTTAGAGGTTTGTGGTTTGTGCGTCTCGCAGGCAAGGATTTGTGTTTGAGGCTCTACAATGCATGCCTAGGTGGCACTGAGGGCCTCACTGTTTCCTGCTTCTGGTCCCTGGTAGTACCTGCTCACTGACCCCTCCAGCCCACGGGAGGTCCGTGGTGGCCCTCTCACAGGAGGCCAGGGCTGGCTTGCCATGAGGCAGTGGGGTTCTCAGAGTCCAGACACGCCTGGACCTTGTTCTCCATCCCTGACTTGGCAGGCCTGGGAAGCACACGTCAAGAGTTCCTCATCTCCCTGGCTGCCCTTCCCACCCTGGTTCTGAAACCTAGCCAGCAAATCGCAGAGTCCACCCCTCTAGGAGCACACCCGTTTCACCTGGGGAGTAGGCAGACAGACAGACAGAGGCTCACCCCATCCTGGGGCTTCCGAACAGAACAGTGCAAGGTTTATTCAGTGCCTTCCCAAGGGGACTGGCATCAGGCTGCCTTGTCCCAAACCACAGCCTGAGGAAGTCTGAGGCAGAGCCCACATGCCTGCCCTCAGCCGGGGACATGAGGCACAGAGGTGAGTCCTGCATCAGGCAGCTTCAGCAGCAAGCACCAGAAAGGGGCAGGCCACGGCCCGAGCCACCAACACATGGTGAGGGAGCCTCATACGAGAGAGACCCCCTCCACGCCTCCCCATCAGTGCAGTCACCCCAGCCTCACTGGAGGCACGTTGGCGTGGGGAGTTTGGGGCTAAGCTGCCTTGAGACCATGCTCGGCCCATCTGTGGTGACACTGGGCTCACAGTGACACTGGGGTGGTACGGGGGAAGGGAGCAGCAGTCTCCAAGGGACATGCCTGAGTACACCCAGGGCCCCCATAAGAATGGCCTTGGCCAGGGGAGAAGCACTGAGCACACAGGTGGGTTAGGTCTGCAGGGCCCCACGCTGCAGGCCTAGGGAGTGAGCTCCAGTGTGAGATCAGGGCCGGTGGGGCCCTCAAGGAGATGGGGAAGAGGCAGTGGACTCTAGCATCCCTTACCAACATGGGATGGGCTCGACCCCAGAGGGCAGCAGGGACAGCAGAACAGTGGGCCCTAGTGTCCCCTCACCCACACAGGATGAGCTTGGCCCGAGGAGGTGGCAGGGACAGCAGGTCACTGGGTCCTAGCGTCAATAACCCACACAGGACAGGCTCGGCCCCAGGGGGCAGCAGGGACAGCAGGACAGCGGGCCCTAGTGTCCCCTCACCTACGGAGGATGGACATGGCCCCGAGACAGCAGGGTAGGGGGCCCTAGCATCCCCTCACCCACACAGGATGGGCACGGCAGCAGGCCCTAGTGTCCCCTCCCCCACGGGAGCTGGTCGTGGCCCCAGGGACAGCAGGGCAGTGGGCCCTAGTGTTCTCTCACCCATGGGGGATGGTCATGGCCCCAGAGACAGCAGGGCAGTGGTCCTGAGACCTGCTGCACCTGGGTGGGTCTGAAGGTTTAATCCTGGAGGCAGCTTTACGCGTCACTCCGGTACCGCAGCCGGGAGAAGCGGTCCCTGATGGCCTGGTCACTGTCGGCCCGATCCTGGCTCAGACGCACGACCCTGCTATCCGGGATGCAGTCCCGCACCTTGTGCTTGATCACTGAGACCAGTCCAGGTGCGGCTGGGCTCTCTGGGCCCGTCAGCAGGATGAAGGCTGCGTGGCGGCTCGGCTCGAACAGGACGGCTGTGTGGACACGGCCATCAGGGGTGCCCCTCCTGACCCTAGACCCCATGAGGACCCCATGAGGCACACTCACCCTCGAAGGCAATGATGTTGGCAGAGATGGTGGCCAGCTCCAGGAGGACGCTGGGCAGAGTAGGGTGAAGCATGTAGAGGCTGTGGGCAGGACCTCCGGTCTCCTGGAGTGACACGACCACCCCAGCTCAGCTCCCCCAGCTCCGTACTGTGCCCTGGGAGATGATCTGGCTACTACTGCGGACACCCCTTGTCCACTGGGATCTCCACCAGGTCCCCGAATGCTAACTTCAGTATGTCCCCGTCTTCCAGCTCCCCAGCCTGTGCCTCCTCAGGTGTTTGGTCTGGTCCCCCACACCAGGTCCCCCCAGCCTGTCCCTCCTCTGTGCTCAGTCTGGGTCCCTACTATGTCCCTCCTGAGTCTCATTCCCAGCCTGTCCCTCCACTGGGTGTCAGTCTGGTCCCCAGCCTGTCCCTCCTCTAGTGCTTGGTCTGGTCCCCACCACACCCGGTTGCAACCCAGGCCTCATCATCACTTCCTTCACCTCTCACCTTGGTCCTGGGACCTGGTCCTCAGGTGCTCCCAGCCCTGCCTGCATGGCTCTCCTCTACCCATAGACCTGTCCCCAGTCAGCTTCAGGGTGGGACTGTAGGTCGCCTGGGCTGCTGTTGACATGGCGTGTGGCCCCAAGTGTGTGTCCCCACCCCCCATACCGTCTGGTTTGCATCGACCCCCTCAGGTAGGCCCCAGAAGAAGAAGGCAGAGCGGTGGTCTGCAGTCAGCAGGCTGGCGGAAGGCGGGACCCCGGGGAGGCCTGGGAGGTGCTGATGCCACAGGATGGCCCCGGTGCTGAGGTCCAGGAGCAGGATCTGCAGAGAGGACAGCTGCGGGCAGCAGGCACGGGGGCTGTCCCACCGAGGGCCCCCTACCCCAGCAACAGCCTTGAGAGACCTGCCAGGCATGGCACTGCCCTCGGTCTAGCTGTGGCCACAGTGGGAGCTGGTAGGAAATGCAACCCACCTGTCTGTTGATGCCAGTTCCATTTTCAATGAGTACTGCCAAGGTGTCCGGTTTGTAGTGACCAAGGATGGGTTTTCTGGAAGGGGAGCAGGACGTGAACGGAATCCCTGGGCCAGGCACCCCCAACCCACTTTCTTCCTGCGGTTACACATGGACACCTGGGCCCTGGACAGGGGCCAACCAGCTGGGGCTGACTCCTCATCAGCAGCGGATGGCTGTGGTAGCGTGACCATGACCACGGCCCAGCATCCCAGGAGTCCTCGTACCTGAAGACCTGGGCGTCACTGAGGGTCCACCTGGGTGCCAGGTCCTGCCCATCCAGCAGCACGCAGGCCTCAGAGCCCACGAGGAGCAGGTCCTCACCAGCTTTGCCGGGGACGTGCATCTGGTAGCGGATGGCTCCAGAGCTATTGGGGGTGGGCATGGGCCTCATGTGAATGGCTGGGGCCCCTTGACCCATCCACACACCCCTCATTTCTTTGTCCTCTGACCAGATGCCCCCAGAGGACAGGAGGTGAGACCCCATCGAGGACCTTGCTCCCGATCTTCCTTCTCCTTTATTGTTCTCATACCTCAGCCCGTGATGGCCCTGTGCTCCCCAGGGGCAGGGCCCTGCCCCCACTGGCCTGCTGCTCTGGACCCTGGGCCCACCCCATCCTCCATCTGGGTGTGTGGTGGACGCCAGTGTGCAGACCAACCTGGGTGAGGACACCCTGCTGGTGGTGCTGTTGATGGCGCGCTCCCACAGTGGGTCCGTCCTGAGGAGGCTCTCTCTCCCCGTCATCTCCTCAAACAGACTTTTCATGGACCAGCCACAGAGGGAACTTGCTGCTGAGGATGTAAAGAAGCGGGTGTCACCGCTGGGGGCCTGAGCAAGGTGTGGTCCCCAGCCCAGCTCCCAGGGCATGTGGCACCTCCCCAGGCCTGAGGATAGCCTGCTGCCAGGAAGGCTGGTTCTTTGAGCTCTTGGCCCTGTGGGAGCTGGCTCACGGCTGGCAAGCCAAGAGCAGCCCCAGGGCTCCGCAGACAAGGCTCCTCCAAGGGTGAGAGGGAAGGGGTGGTTAACCCACCGCAGGGAAAGAGGAGGTAGTAGGCGCCTGTCCTGGTGACGTGCAGGATCGAGCCAGCCTCCCCATCTGTGCTGAGGCTGCCTCTGTGGCCCACCTGGCTCCCAGTGCTGCCTGAGTAGACGTAGCTGTTCACCTGTGGGGATGACGGGCATCACAGATAGACCTGACCATCTGCCTGACAGAGAGGGAGCCCTGAACTGGCTCCGTGGTGCCAACGGCACAGGCCCCAGACCAGCTCATGGGGTCCAGTCCTGCAGGGGGTGGAGGCACACTTCCCTGGGCACCCCGGATGCAGGGGTGGGGTGCAGGGCCCACGTGTACCTCCTTGTTCTCCCTGGTGAGGACCAGCAGGTCAGGGAGCCCATCGCTGTCGACGTCGGGCACCCCAAGCAGGAGACTGAGGATGGATGCATTCTTCTCCAGGCTGCCGGGACGGCTCCACAGGGTTTCCCCTCAACACAAATACCGCCCCTGAGTGCTGGCCCCAAACCCGCAGTCACCACAGCCTGGTACCAGGCACAGCCCCCGGCAGCCCTGCAGGCTGCAGGGTGCGTGGGGCTGGCGCCAGCTCGCTATGCCCAGAAAGCCACCATCACACAAAGGACGCAGGGCTTTGCAGCCCTCCCCCCTCCTTCTCCACAGTCCACTGTCTGACACTGAACAAGGGTGGCTCTGGGACACCTGGCCCTCAGGAGGAAGGTGGCTGCTGCCTACATGGGTGGGAAGGGACCGTTCTCCACCACCTCTTGGGACCCTGGCCTGCTGTCAGGGATTCAGCTGTGCCCCGACACAGACAAGGCATTAAGGAGAAGCATCTTCCTGCTGGGCCCGCTTGGTCCTGACAGACAGCCTTCTGCCCAGATGCAGCCTGGTCCAAACCCGGTTTGTGGACTGAGCCCTCTGTTCCCACAGGGCTGCTGCCTGCCCTTTGCTTCCTCCGTAGCCTGAAAACCAGTTTGCAAGGGAAATGCTGATACTCACTGAGTTAGTGGCAAGACTCAGGATTCCTTAAGACCTTATAGGTGCAAGAGGCCTGTGCAGCCAAATCCTCTCCTTTTTCCTCTCCTTGATGCCTGGACAGGCCTTGTTACATCAGGGCCCGGAGACATACCCCCGTTCATGGCAGGCCCCGATGCCCTGGGGCCTCAGCATCCACACCCTGGCCCGCCCCTGGGCATTCCCAACAGGAGCCTGGCAGAGCTCCCAGGGGGGCTGCCTGAGGTCGGAGCTCAGTCAAACCTGCCCCTGCAGCACGGCTTCAAGCCGAGGCGGCAGGATGCAGCCCTGAGGCGGACACCGGCTGATCCTCGTTTGGACGTTCCCACCACCCCCATCCAGGTGGTCCTACCCCTGGGGTGTTGGGCTCCCCTTTTACAAGGCCTGCAGCCACTCGGATGCCTGCTCTGCCCACTGCCCGGTGGCCTACCTGTGAAGGGGTCTAGCGCGATGACAGATCCAGGGCCACCGACGAGGATGCAGGCTGACAACACCCCATGGGCCCGCTGCTGGGCGCTGCTGCACTGCATGAGGGTCACGTCCTGTGCTGCGGGCCTCTCCCAGAACAGGGTGCCGCTGGCCCCCGATGCAGCGGCCACAAAGGCACAGGGAGAGGAGAAGCCTGAGGGAGCGGTCACACCTGCAGCTCTGCCCACGGGGAACTGAGGTTGCCCCCCCCCCCCCCCGAGACAGACATCTCCAGAAGTCTCACACACTGCAGAAAGGACGGGAGACCACGTGGGCACCCTCCCACCAAAGGGAGAGCCTTCTTTCTGATAAAAACTGAATCACCTTCATCGGCACAGGATCGGTTGGGACTATTGCTGCTGTTGGCGTTTTTATAAAGAAACAGAACATCTTGGATCCGATCCCGGTTTATGTCTTCCAGAGCCAGAAAGTCATATGCAGCTGGAAAGAAAAGCCCACACTGTGCTCAGGGTCAAGTCCAGCACTCTTACCTGCTCCTGCTGAGTGACTCTGTGCTGGGGGCACTGGGCCAGTGAGAACCTGCCACCACGGCCTCACCCCCATACCAAGCAGCTCACTAGGTCTAGAACTTCCCACAGCTCCTTGGAACAGCAGCAACACTAGCGAACACTATGCACCAGATGGTAATGTCAGGTGTTAACCAACAGGAAGGCAATGAGGACACCTGGTGTCACATTAATGGACGCCGTGCACACCTTCAGTTCCGAATCCCTCACTAGACCAGTTTGGGATCTACATAGCCTGTCCACCCCTCCCTACCTGTTAGGGGCTCTTCCTTTCTTTAATTCAAAGACTCCGAGGGCAAAGTATAGGCCCTATAGATGAGCCAGCTGGGGCAAGCAGGATGACTGGCCTTAAATTCACCAGAGATGCAAATGTGCACAGCCAGGGGTGGTCCTGAAAACATCCCACACATTCCTGGCTGTCTGGAAGGCTATGCACACAGTCAGAAGAAACTCAAGAGGGCCTGAGCAGCCACATGTTTGAGTCCAGAATGACCAGGTGATCAGAGCCACACACAGACAACACATGGAACGAAGGTAAAGTTCAGCATGCTTCGTTAGCAGACACAATGATCTTTGACTCAATTAGTAAACACATCCGGCAACTGGAAAAAGGGTCAGATGCCGTCACCAAGCGGGTTTTACTTCTGGACTGCAAGGCCGGTTTAATTTCTAAAAACTAAAGTAACGTAACAACCATAACAAAAGAATAAAGAACAAAACCCACAGGCCCCATAGTGGACACAGAAAGAGCATGTGACAAAACCCACACCCTTGTATGGGAAAAACTCTCAGCAGACTAGGAATAGAAGGGAATGCCCTCAAATGGAAAGGCAGCTATGAGGGTCGTCCTTAGTGATGGGTGAGGGACACGTCCCCCCGATGACCAGGACGAACATAAGAGTGACCACTCGATTCCACATCGCACTGGAGGTCCTCGCCAGTGAAACCGGCTGAGAAAAGAGAGAAAAGGCAACTAGACCAGAGAGGGGGAGCTCTGCTGGTGTAGTGCCTAAGGCACTTGACTGCTAACCAGAAGGCTGGTGGTTCAAACCCACCAGCCACTCCTCGGAAGGAAGGTTGGGCAGTCTACTTCCATAGTGATACTGTCATTTCACAAGATACCTTGGAGACCCAAGGAGGGGTTGCTATGAGTCAGATCCGAGTCGAGGCAATGGTTTTGGCTGGAGAGGAAGGAAAAAGCCTGCCTTTTACCCCATAGGTGACAGGATGCGGTAGAAAGCCCTACAGAATCCACCAAAACGAACTACCAGAGCTAACAAAGGCCTTCAGCCAGGCCATCAAAGATGTACACACACACACAGGCCAACGACTGCATAAGTGAGGGACAGGTGTCTATGCCCCCGATACTGGATTTGTAATATTCGTGATCAGTCTGGCTTATCTTTTCATTTTCATCATGGTGTCTTCTGAAGCTCCAAAGTTTTTAATTTTTATGAAATCCAATTTGTCCACTGAAAGATTCAATTTTTAAGTATCATGCTTTGGGTGTCATGTCTAAAAACTCTGCCTAATTCAAGGTCACAAAGATTGTTTCCTATGTTTTTTTCTCTGGAAATTGTATAGTTTTAGCTCTTATATTCAGATCTATAATCCATCTTGAGTAATTTCTTGTTTCAGTGGAGTAAAAACACCTATTGCTCATTTACTAACTATCTCATTATCTGACCTTTCATGTGGACAATAGTAGAGAATCCACTGTCTGACTGTTTTGTGCATTAACGATGTATGTCTGGTGGTAATCAACACTAAGATGTGAGGTGAGAGTAATACTGGCTGTGATGGTTGACACTATGTGTCAATCTGGCTGGGCCACATTCTCAGTGGTCTGGCAGCTCTGCAATGATGTAGTCATCCTCCACGTTGTGACTGGATGTAGTCAGTCTCCATCTTGTGACTGGATGTAGTCATTCCCCATGTTGTGACCGGACACAGTCAGTCTCCATCTTGTGACCAGATGTAGTCATCCCCCAGGTTGTGACCAGATACGGTCATCCTCCATGTAGTGACCAGATGTGGTCAGTCTCCACGTTGTGACTGGATGTAGTCGTTCTTCATATAGTGCCTGGATGTGGTTGTCCCCTACGTTGTGACTGGATGTGGTCAGTCTCCATGTTGTGACCGGACGTGGTCATCCCCCACGTTGTGACCAGATGTGGTTGTCCCCCATGTTGTGACCGGATGTGGTCAGTCTCCATCTTGTGACCAGATGTAGTCATCCCCCAGGTTGTGACCAGATATGGTCATAACCAGATGTGGTCGTCCCCCACACTGTGACCAGATGTGGTCAGTCTCCATGCTGTGACCGGAGGTGGTCGTCCCCCACGTTGTGACCGGATGTGGTCAGTCTCCACGCTGTGACCGGAGGTGGTCGTCCCCCACGTTGTGACCAGATGTGGTCAGTCTCCACATTGTGACCGGACGTGGTCGTCCCCCACGTTGTGACCGGACGTGGTCAGTCTCCACGTTGTGACCGGAACGTGGTCGTCCCCCACGTTGTGACCGGATGTGGTCAGTCTCCACGTTGTGACTGGACGTGGTCAGTCTCCACGTTGTGACCGGAACGTGGTCGTCCCCCACGTTGTGACCGGATGTGGTCAGTCTCCACGTTGTGACCGGACGTGGTCGTCCCCCACGTTGTGACCGGATGTGGTCAGT